CATCACTTCTGGCTTTTTTCTTTTTGCTTATGTGGTGCTGAGGAATCGAACCAGGGCCTCATGCATGCAAGGCAAGCACTCTACCACTGAGCCACCTTCCAAGCCCCCCTTAGGATATTCTTAAAAACATAATTAGGAAATGAGAATAAAAAGAAAGTTTGGTGAATCAAGATCCCTTTGGACAATTATTTAAGGATAACAAAAATAAAATTAGAAAGAGAGGGATGTTTGGAAGTGAGATACAATCTGAAGCTGGATATGTAAACAGAAATAGAATGATAAGGGCTAAGACAACAGGCAGAACGTGGTAGCAAATTTGTCGCTGAGAGTTTTAGGGGTCCAGGTACCAGGTTTAGTTTCCACAGGCGCTGGTGGTCAAACAAGACCTCTGTTACCTTCACGATGGAATTGCTGTCTCTGATCTTCTCTGTATCTTCTGCCATAGGTTGATGAAACAAAATCTATGGACATTAGGTGCTTTTTGAGAGCAATAAGGTTAGGAGAGGTCAAAGCAAAGTCATAGAGAAGAACCAGTCACCTGTCCATCCTTGGAATGCCCACAGGCATTCAGTCTCATCAACAAGCTATGGGGATGATGTAGCCCTGAAGGGTCTGAGGCTGTGGTCTTCCGTTCAAAGTGGAGTGAAAAGAACTGATGCTAACTTAACACTGGCCAATACCACAGAAACCAGTGCTGTCAAAGGCATCCGATCAACAGGAGAGCTTAAGACACCTATTTCTAATAGCTAGGTTTAAATCAGACCAAGTAATCTGCATATCTAACAAGGTCCAGGCAATTCTGCTGCTGCTGCTCTGTTGACTATACTTTGAGAACTGGAGGCATAATACATTTCTACCTAAGGACTTTTTTATCTTTTATTCTCTCTCTCTCTCTCTCTCTCTCTTTTTCTCTCTCTCTTGCTTGGGTTTTTTTTTTTTGGCTTATCTACTATTTGGCCCATACCACCACTACCAGCTTTTGGTTTGTTAATTGGAGCTCAAAGTGGTATGGATTTTTTTTTTTTTTTGCCTGTGCTGGCTTCAAATTTTGGTTCTCACATCTCAGCCTCCTGAGTTATATGCTTGAGTCTCCTCCTCCTCTTCCTCTTCCTCTTCTTTCTTCTTGAGTCACCTGTCTCAGTCTCCAAAATGCTGGGATCACAGGTGTAGACTACCACCTGTGGCTAATATTTTTATTTCTTTGTTTACCTAATGTGGATACTTGGGCCCTGAGTGGTAGAATATATCTGTATCTCTACCAGTATTGATCTATATATCATCATCTATCGAATCTGTATCTTTATCATCTGTATCTACATAAGTGAACAATAGTATTAGGATAAAATAAGTTCCTGTCCTAGAACTCATATAGAGATAGCCATCATTTCAATGTTCTTTTTCTTTTAATGAAGTTATTATTATTATTATTGTTATTATTTTACTAAATCTAAATACAGCCCCATCCATAGGCCACTTTGCAAAGACCGCAGCCTACTAAGAGAGAAATGTCTTGGCTATTTAATTGGATCAGGACAGCCATATCGCCTGTATATATGCATCACCAAATTCCTATGATATTTACTTGACTACCAAGTCTATGCTGTAACTCTTGGGACACACATAAACCTTCATTATTTTTCACTTTAGCAGGTCTAGAGTATTGTCAGCTAAGAAAATGATTTCTTCATTTATCCGCTTGTGCCCAAGGTAGCAGAAACTATTCTATTAGAACTTCTTTTAGAAGTATTTTTTCAGTGAAGAATTTTTGCATATATCACAAACCAAGTTTATGTATGTATTTATATATATATATATTTCTGTTGCTCATTAAATTTTGGCCTTGGCATATGTTACTTAATGTGACCTGAATATTCTACCTTTTTAGAATTCTGAGATTGTATTATCCCACTTGACAGTTAAGTATTTAATTGCCTTCTATAGACAGTCGATCTCAATTTTTATTAAGGTCAACTGGAAAAAAAAAGAAGACGATTCGTAGGTTTGGCATTCAAGTAGGATATCTGTGTTTTTACATTTCCCATATGATTTTATGGACAGCCAGATTCTACGGAAGCTTGAGAATAATCGCTGTGAAATTTCATAGAATAGTATTTGAGTATAATTTGCATAGAGAACAGTATGTAAAATAGAATTTGTGGGATTCCCTAATTTTGGGTGCAGTTGGTTTTTATGGTGGCCATAACAAGAAGTTTGATTTTCTCACAGGAATTAGTGCAATTAGAATTATGCCTAATTGGTTCATTGAAGCTCACGTTCTTTTTTTTTTTTTGTCGGTTGTGGGGCTTGAACTCTGGGCCTGGGCGCTGTCCCTCAGCTCTTCAGCTCAAGGCGAGCGCTCTACCACTTGAGCTACATGCCACTTCCGGTTTTCTGGTGGTTTATTGGAGATAGGAGTCTCACGGTCTCTCCTGCCCGGGCTGGCTTTGAACCACGATCCTCAGATCTCAGCCTCCTGAGTAGCTAGGATTACAGGCGTGAGCCACCAGCGCCCGGTGAAGCTCACGTTCTTGAGTGAAGGTCTTGTTACAGAAATCATGGACAGTAACCTCAGCATCAGAGGTGATTGTTAGAAACAAAGTGTCTCAGGACCCTCCCTAGACGAATGGAATGAGAATCTGAATTTTCACAAGGTCTTCTGGGTGATTGGACATGAAGTTTGGGAAGCAAATATTTTAACATATGGTATTTACTTTAGCCTTAGTAACAACATTGAAGGCAAATGTTCTCAATCACAGTCCATAAATAGGAAAACTGAAGGTTTTCATTTTGAGGGTTTAATTTTTTTTTTGAGCTCCAAGTATACTAGATCCCGTCTGATAGATAGCTGGCAAACATCTTCTCCTATTCAGTAAGCTTTCTTTTTAGCTTGTTTAGTTTGTTTGCGTTTGATGCAATCCTACTTATCAGGCCTGTCTTTGCTTTGTTATGTTTCTGGATTTTAATTATGGCGAGTTCAAATAGTACATTGTTAAAAAAGGAAAAGGAAATCAAAGCCCCAAGAAATGGGCACTTTCAAGGTCTGTGTGTATGTGTGTGTGTGGGCGTAGTGCCAAGGGAAGTGGTATAGACAATGCATGGGGATGTGGTGGTGGGGGGAGAATACAGTCAAGAATTCATTGTCTATACCACAAAATTAAGCACTTCCAGGGCAGGGCTGGGTGGAAGGGGGCTGAGCTTGTGGAAGGTGACAATTGAGATCGCTGAGTGACAAGTATCAAGATGCATTGTATTTATGTACTGCTTTGTTAAATGACACTTTCCTTGTATAACTTCTTAAAGGTAGTAATAAGAAAATAAAATTAGAAAAAAAAAGAAAACTGAGACTTTATGAAGAAGAAGTCAATGGAAGGATATAAACTTACATCAAAGGAGAAGATACGGAGCTGGGTGTGGTGGTTCGCTCCTGTCAACCCAGCGCTTTGGGCGTGAAAGCAGGGGGCTTGTGTAGTTTGAGCTATATATGAAGTTATTTGAAAACAAAACAAGTAAAAAAGCATAAGGAACAGAGGAAAAGGAGGAGAGACACAGAGAGAAATTGAGAGAGACTTGTATGACGTGACTTCTAATATTGTTTGGAATATCTATTACACTTAACTTCCCATAACCTTCGGTCTGTTGGTTGATAGTTGGGGGATTATACTGTATTTCTAGATAGCTGCTTTCGTGGCTTTGGGTAGTTGAGAAGTAAGAAATAATGATGAGAGGTACTTTAGTAAATCTAAGTATAGATATCACTTAATTAACATTCTCTTGCATGTGGAATCAAGCCACCACCTGCTTTGCTGTGTTGGGAAAAACCTGGAAAGTAGCTAGTTATGTGTGTATTATGGCTATTTTTTAAATGTAGTTATCTGAGTCTTCAAGGCTCTAAGCATGCGGTAGGGGTAGATGTGAAAGAATCTACCTCCAACCTCTCCTTTCTTCTCCTCTGCTCAGGGAATGATGCAGCCCCTGCTTGATAGATGCCCTTTGTAGGAATTGTGTTTCTTTTGTCATAACTTTCAAAGGGGAGAGAGACAGAGAGAGAGAGAGAGAGAGAGAGAGAGAGAGGGAGAGAGGGAGGGGGGAGAGAGAGAGGGGGGGGGGGTTTGTGTACAGCTTCTTTGGGAGATTCAAAGTTATATTTCTTTTCTTTTTTTTTTTTTTTTTGGGCCCAGTCATGTTTAGAGCTTTGGGTCTTTTTAAAAATCAAGGCTAGCGCTCTACCACTTGAGCCACAGCGCCACTTCTGGCTTTTTTCTTTTTGGTTATGTGGTGCTAAGGAATTGAACCCAGGACCTCTGGCATGCAAGGCATGCGCTCTACCACTGAGCCACCTTCCCAGCCCCCTCAAAGTTATATTTCTAAGTTGAGGTTTTCATACTTTCTGGGAAGGAAGAAATGGAAAGCACACTAGAACAATATTCCAATAGATTATGCTGGAAAGACTTGGAAAAGGAATGTTTCACTGTGAATGACTGTATTAACACCTTGGATTTTCACTTCATCTGGATGGTAGAGTTTCTCTAGTCTAAATACCGAGTGGTGCTGCTTCCCCCCCCCCCCCACTATCTTTGGTTTAAACTTATTGAAGTGGTGCCTCACCAGATGGACCTGGAGTGGCATAGTTAGCAAGGGGCCTGGGTAAAAGCTACCAGGGCTGGATTTTGGACATCGACTGAGTGACCAGGAAAGTTAATCCTAAGTGTCTTTCCACTCTGTCTTCCCAAGAGATTTCCTCCACCTCCTGGCCATAGACCAGAGAGGCAATTCGAGATCAGACTGAAATCAACCCTCACTCCAAGGTTGGCACATCTTCAGAGCAGCTACTGTTTCTCTGCCAAAAGGAAGTGGAAATTGAGATAAATGTTTCAATACTTGGATGGAAAAAAAAAAGTCCAGTTTTACACCATGTCCCTTTTGAAAAACCGCATTCCTCAGAAGCAAAGTTTATTGTTTCCTTTTGTGATACTTTGCTTCTTTAAAAATTTTTTTTCTTCTTCTTCTTCTTAAGACGTGGTATTTAAGAGCGGTAATTGAGATCAGATTTTAAAATGTGCTGTTTCCACTCTGCATGTCATTAAAATAAAATATTAGCTTTCATGAAGTTTCTTTGGAAGTGTTTCTGGTGGGCTGTGTTCTGTGGTAGGCAGAGTGTCAAAAATCTAAAGAAAAATGGTTGTACCCAACAAGACAGTAGAGGAACAAGTGCATGAAGAGTCAAGAATCTCAGAATCTGCCAGGATCTATTGTAATGATGGAATGTTCAAAATGTGTCTTACTGTTACCAATTCTATTCCTAGCTGTGGTACCTACAGGGAGTATAAATGGATGATTCAAACAAACACGTGGTCAAGTACCAGTCTTGATGTAGAATCTACTTATTGCAGTTTGTAGGGTACATGGTGGCTTTTGAAAAAGCCCCCAAATATTGGCTGTAGGATTTAGTCAGGTAAATTTTTTCAAATTGAGGGCTTTAATTTTTTAAATTATATTTTCACTATCTTTAAGTAGCTGTCCAGTGGGGTTGCGATTCAACCTGTGGATTTATGAGAACAAGGAATCTTGATCAGTATCACCCTTTCTATCTTTCTCCTTCAGCTCTCCCAACCCAATCCATTGTTATTTTAAGAACAGTTAAGCTGGGCACTAGTGGCTCATGCCAGTAATCTTAACTACTCCTGAGGCTAAGATCTGAGGATAATGGTTTGAAGCCAGCCTGGGCAGAAAAGTCTATGGGGCTCCTATCCCCACTAAACTACTCAGAAAAAGCTGGAAGTGGCACTGTGGCTCAAGTGGTAGAGTGCTCACTGTGAGCACAAAAAGGCTTAGCATCAAGACCTTGAGTTCAAGTTCTAGGACCAGAAAACAAAAAGTTATTTGGGTTGCAGTAATGTTCACATGTCTTTTTTTCTAAAGTTTATTAAAGAAGGTGTCTTCGAATATCAACTTTATACCTTACCTTTTGGGGTATCAGCATGGAACATTTGGTAATGAATGTCATTCTCTCACCCCATATGCATTAAAAAGAATTTCACTGTATTTTATATTTTGATGTAGTACATAGAAAACTCACTCTTCTATCAGATTCACGTTGAAATGAGTTTCACAGTAGGTCTTGGAGCTGGGCACAAAGATGTCAGTGCATTTAAAATTTAAATTTGCAAACCTAACATTGTCCTTCCCCAAATGTTCTATTCCTGGCTGGCTCCTTCAAGTTACTGGGTTACTATGGGATACTGCTCACTGTCTCCGAGAATCCTGTTGAGCCCCTTTTCCTCTGCTGTGATCTCATTGATATTCTGATATTTCCTCCAGATCAAGAGGAATGGTGTTTGGGCCGGCCAATTTAGGAGAAGATGCAATTAGAAACTTCATTGCAAAACATCGTTGTAACTCCTGCTGCCGGAAACTCAAACTACCGGGTATGCTGCAAACAATTCTATTTTCCACCCAGTCAATCTCTCCCAGAACAACCTCCATCGTGACCGGGAATCGAGGAGCAAATCTTAATCACATTAAAAAAAAAATCTCATTCGCAGCCATTCACAGAGCCTGACTTTCTGACTGCAAACTTTTTCGAGACTTGGAAAGGATTAAAAGGACGAGGATTTACTGTAGGTTCTGCTACAATGTGATAAAAACAACATGAGAGATTTGTCCCAGTCACTGGGGGGGGGGGGGATAGAGGGGGAGGAGGGGAGTTGCACTGGTTTAAATGGGAAGAACTCTGACCAAGGCCTTTCTCCTCCCCCCCCTCCTCTCTGAGTGCCCTCAGCCCTTCTGTTCTGTTTTGCTTATTGGACACATGGGAGGCAGCTTTACATTATAAAAAGCAACCACTCTAGTTACTTTGCTGTCTGTCCTGGGAAATCAAACCCCACATCTTGCCCATGCTAGACAAATATTTTACCCCTAAACCCCAAGCTGAGCCCCCAAATCTTCCATTAAAAAAAATATATATATATAAATGCCATGTAGTAATGTGGCATACTTTCTCTGAAACCAATATAGTCATCAGAAAAAAAATACCCTTGGGGAATGTCTGCCCCCAGCCTTGAAATCCCAATGCCAGCTGCTCCTCCCTTTCTTCTCAGAGGGGTGCTGATGCCTGCCCCAGCTGGTTCCGTCTGCTTTCCTAGGCCACAGCACAATGGTTCTTCTATTGGAATGTCACAGGTTTCAAGCTGAGGAGTGGTTTCTGCTTTATCAAAAATGATTACAGCCTGGAGTCAGGCACCTAGGTGCATGCCTGTAATCCCGGGTCTTTTGTTGAGAAGAGCACCATCCATTATAATCTGGAATGGAGCCGGGGTAGATTTGCAGTCACCAAGGATAATTTCTAATCCTGTTTGAGTTAGGAGGAAAGAAGGCTTCTGTGGGCATCAGTCCGGTTCGGAGCAGTCCCTGCTTGTCAGCCAGAGGTGGTAGTGGCAGAGGTGGTCCAGATGTTGGATGAGGAGATCAAAATAGAGAAGAGAGAGGGCCGTCACACTTGTGTCTGCCCGGGCACTTGATCTCACAAATCATTCACCATTTACCAGAGACCCAAGGACAGCATTTTGGTATCAGGAGGACCGCAGCCAGGGAGGCTGGGGGCTGGGCAGCTCTCTAGGTAAGGTTCTGACAGGAAGCAGGAACTGAGGAGGGTCTGAGTCATCCACCGTTCTGAGCAGGAGTTTCACCAGTGAACTCCTCACACACGGGTCCCTGCCGGTCTGGTTACACAGGGCAGCCTCCATTCTGAGACCCAGGAAGGACTCCATCTGTCTGGTCAGCCAGGAGGCAAGGAATCTTGAGCCAGAGCTCACTGCTTCTAATCCTGGAGCCCCATTTAGTCTTCTGGGTTGATGGATAATTTGGTTGTCCCTTTATCTTTCGATCAAATGGGTGTCACCTTTCCAAGTGTTAGTTTTGAACAAAATGGTATGTAGAAATACCCTGATTTACTTACCTATTTTGGGCAATGTAAAGAAAGGATTTCCTTTGAAAGACAGGATTAGGTATGGATGATCTGGATTTCCTTGTTTTCCTGTGAGAGTTTGGGATTGGGAGGCAGGGAGGTTGGACTCAGATCCCAATGTAGCCTCTCACTGGCCCATGACCTTGGCCTTCAGTGGCCTCCCGTGCAAAGAGCCCTTGTTTCGTTACGTCGGTGTGAAGGTTTAATTAAGTAATATATGTATGTGTTTGATAAATGTTGGTTAATACTAAAATAAGTTTTATGTTCACAGATTCTCCATTTAACATTAAAAAATTAACACAAAGGTTCCTCTCGCCCCCATTTGGTGCTTGAGATTGAACCCAGGGTCTCATGTCTACTGACTGCATGCTCTACCACTAAGCGGCTCCCCTGCCCTGGTAGAAATACGGGGCAAATTTAGCCAGAAGAGCACAGAAATGTCTATAAGTATTTATTAGCCATTCCTGCCACAATTTTTTGTTTTTTTGACTATTTTTTTATTGTGAAAGTACTGTACAGAGGGGTTACAATTACATGGGAAAGATAATGGGTACATTTCTTTTCAAATATTGTAGACTCCTCCTTTGTTTCCCCTTCCCATCCCTTCCCATCCTCCCCCGCCCCCTACCCCAATCCTTCCCCCTCTGCCCCCCCCCCACACCAAAGTTGTAAAGTTCGTTTTCAACATAACGACTTATACATCTCATTGTCTGCAACAATTTTTTTTTGGAAGGTGTTAGGGCTTGAGTTTAGAGCTTTGGGTCTTTTTAAAAATCAAGGCTGGCACTCTACCACTTGACCTACATCTCTACTTCTGGCTTCTTGCTAGTTAACTGGATATGAGAGTCTCTGGGAGTTTTCTGTTCAGGTTGGCTTCAAACTACTATTCTCAGATCTCAGCTACCTGAGTAGTTATGATTTCAGGCTTGAGCCATCAGTGCCTGGCCTTAAGAATTAATCCTCCCTCCCTCCCTCCCTCCCTCCCTCCCTACTTTCCTCCATCCCTCCCCTTTTCTATCTCTATTTTCTTCATATTGGGGGTTTGATCTCAGGGTCTTCTTGGTGCCTACACTATTGCCTGATTATTGCCCTTGGTAGTATTTTCTTTTACTACAGGAAAAGGAAGCCTTAGGAAATATACACTCTGACCCTGGAATGAGGCTTTACACACTGATCCTGGAATGAGGCTTTTGTAGGTGGTAGACAGATTTAGATGCAGCTTTTGTTGTGGAAAACTGACTCCTGGGATCTGGAATCTACCATTGGACCCCTCTCCATGACCTTGCCCGTGACTGGCATTTCTCATTTGCTTCATTTAACTCTGGCCCAGGTTATGGCTTACGGGGCACTGCACATTGAATCAAACAACCAACCATTTCCTCTCCTGTGGGAGTCCCCTACTCAAACATCATGGGCAATTCTGGTTGCACCTGGGTCCTGGGGTGTTAGGCTTGGGTTCCATATACCATGGCCTGGAGCGGTAGAGCTTCCGGGATATCTGGCCACCCCTAGCGGCTAATCCGTGCACGCAGTGCATTCTGACATAGATTCCCTAAAGCTTGTCTTTCTTGCAGACCTCAAAAGAAATGATTATTCCCCTGGAAGAATAAATTCCCACTTTGGACTTGAGAAGAAAATCGAACCAGCGGAGGGAGCTCCGGAAAGAGAATGGAAGAGGAATTCCCTAGAAGAACACACACGACTGTAAAATCAGGATGGAAGGAAGCATCCCGATCATTCCATCCCGGGTGGACACACCAACATTATAAAGTAATGCCGATTCCACCAGGACGAGACCTTACACCACGGCCCAGGGCTTCCCGGGGACATGCGCTCTGAGCCTCCCGTCTGCCCTCGTCAAGAAGTCTCATTGGAAGATGGCCAACAGGTCTTTCTAGATAGTGCTCTCTGTGCAGGTCATTTTGCATGTGTTCTCGATCCTCCAGTTCCACATGAAGAAAGTTGGATGAGTCAGCTGGGAATTCTGTTCCTTTATACCTCATTGCTTTAGCTGGTCACTTGGAACCATTAGAACAGAGTTTTGTGCACTAAAGAACCAGGGGGTTGAATTAATTTATTTTCTCACTGTGTGTGCAGACTCTGCCCCCCACGGCTACATCTCCTCATCTACAGATTGTACTTATGTATCTATATGTACATTAAAAAGTTATTTGACTTCCTCTTTCCTATTACCCAGGAGCATAAGGCTTTCAATAGCACCAACAGAGGAAGGTGATGAATGAATGTATGTTTGCACATCCCTATATGACCAGTACAAAATTAAACCATGCTAAAATCTTACATTGGTGTGTGCCAGAGAATCATATGAAGCCTGGGCATTCCAGGGTTCTCTAAGGAGGAAATAATAAAAAAGCAAGTGGGAGGAACTTGCAGTAAATTCTTTTGCCTCTTTTTTCCCCTTCTCCATCAGAGAGCAAGTTATTAGGCACCAGTGGTTCGTGTCTATAAGACTGACTACTCAAGAAGCTGGTATCTGAGGATCGAGGTTCATAAACTATTCTGGGCATAAAAATATGTGAGACCCTTGATCTCCCATTAACCAGCAAAAATGCTAAAAGTAGAACTGTGGTTCAAGTGGTAGAGTACTGGCCTTGAGCCAAAAAGCTAAGGGACAGCGCCTTGTACGTGTGTGTGTGTGTGTGTGTGTGCATGTGTGCACACCAGTACTGGGATTTGAACTCAAAGCCTATGCATTGTCCTAGTATTAGTGCATGCGTGCACACACATGCACACACATGCGCGTCCACACACACACACAAAGAAAACTAGGAGCAAGGATACATAAAACTTAAGAAAAGCATGTTTCCCTTAAGATTAAGGATATTATTAGTTAGAAGGGAATTTAGTTATCCTCTATAATTCCACTCTTCTTCTAAGAATTGCTCTGTTGGGTCTTATGGAGAAGGGTGTTGTTTGAGGCAGAAACGATGGTTGTGTAAGTATGCATCTCTTTCCAGAGTGAAGTGCCAATAGACTAATCCACCCTGAGAACCTGTTAGCAGTTTGGGAAGCTTAAAGTGGGAGATCACCGTTTACTCTGTATAGAATGTTGGTGGTATCTCTTACATGTTGGATGGAGTTGTCCTTTCTTCGAGCAAACATGAGCTTTCTACACAAGCAGAGATGGGGGCTGGGTAATCTCTTCCTTTGCATCTTTTGCATTCTTATGTCTCCATCTGTCAACAGCAAACCTCTCGGATTTGAATGTTTTCAGCTTATTTTTATTGTTATATATTAGGTAGCTTGCTTGTAAATCTGTTGTTAAAATCTCTACTCCTGCATTTTCTCAGGCAATTCTTTTGGGAAAATGTTGCACGAGCAGGAGGAAGCCAAGGATTCTGGATGCAAACAATTGTGTCTGGTTCTGGAAAGAGTTTGCTCATCCAAGGGCAAACCAGAGGTTTTAATTGATGCGCTAAATATTTGGAACCTGGATTGGAACTTCAAATGCACTTTAACTTCCAATTTCTGTGCTGTGCCTTTTGTAACTTGAAGGAAAATCTACAGCATCACATTTGTTTATTTACTTATAGTAGGTGCTGATACTAGGGCTTGAACTCAGGGCCTGGGTACTGTCCCTTATCCTTTTCGTTCAAGGCTGACATTCAGGCATTTTGGTGGTTAATTGAAGAAGAATCTCATGGACTTTTATGCCCCAGACTAGCTTCAAACTGTTGATTCTCAGATTTCAGCCTCCTGAGCAGCTAGGATTATAGGCATGAGCCATTGGTTCTCAGCTCAGAATCACACTTTTAAATCATAAATGGGCCAAAAGTCACTGAGATTGTTTGCCTATAATGTGACAATGTCAAATTTGAGTGATTTGTGATCACAAAAGGATGCAGTGTTTTTTTTCAACTGGTATTTAAGTGCTATTTGTATTCTGCATTAATGATGAAGCTGCAGCACCGAACACAGCAACATTGCCCATAAAAAGCTTGTTTCTTGTTTATGTATTGAATGTTTTGCTCATTTGTTTGTCCTAAGTTTCAATCTCTAGTAAATGGTAAAAGTAATTTGACCACTGGGAAAATGTCAAATCATGAAATGTGTCCCATATCCTACCTGCCAGAAGAATGGGTTCAGATTGGGATAAAAGAAGAGAACAAGTCTTTCCATCTCCGTACAAATGGTACAATAGCAGTCTTTCTGATGGATGAGTATAATTCCATTACATATATGAATCTTGATCCATTCATCCACTGAGGGAATTCTAGGTTGATTCCATATCTTGGCTATGGTAAACAATACTGCAATAAACATGGTTGTGCTGGTGGCTTTAGTGTGGACTGGTTTGTGGTTCATTGGATGGATGCCCAGGAGTGGAATTGCTGGGTCATAGGAAAGCTTTATGTTTGGTCTTTTAGGGAACATTCATACTGCTTTCCAGAGTGGCTGAACAAGTTTACCTTCCCACCAACAGTGTAAAAAGGGGTTCCCTTTTGACCACATCCCCTGACAGCATTTGTTATTGTTAGTTTTCTGATAATGGAGAAGTAAGCCAGAGCCAAAGAAACATGAGCTGTGTGGTTTCCCTCATTTGTGGTAACTAGAATGAGCCTATAAATCTACAAGCAAACATGCTGAATGGCTAAAATAAATAAATAACCCTGGCACATGATAAATAGTCATTAACATACACAGGCTAAGGAGGCTATGCAGAGGAATGCTGGACAAAGGTTCAATAGCTATGTGCAGATGATCATATAAATAATGTTCTATGAGATGAACTCCAGGAAAAGGAAACATGAGACACTCTTTAGGTGCCATTGTTGCTGCTTTTGTTTTCTTTTCCTGTTGTCTTGTTTGTTTGGAACAAGGATGAACAAGTACAATAGTGACACTCACTAGACACTGTGGAAAATGAACTGGATAGCTTATGTTTGGGAATAGGAGAGAAAACCTGGGAGAGGGGGATGGAAGGGTAGAGATAGTTAAAAAAGAATGGTACTCATTACTCATTACCTGATTTATGTGACTGTAACCCCTCTAGATATCAACTCTAAAAGAACAATTAAAAATAAAAAAGAAGCAGAATAGCCAGGCACTGATGGCCTGTAATCCTAGCTACTCAGGAGGCTGAGATCTGAGGATGACAGTTTGAAGCCAACCAGGGCAGGAGAGTCCACTTTCATCTCTGATTAAACATCAAGAATGCTGAAAGTTGGGCTGGGAAGGTGGCTCAGTGGTAGAGTGCTTGCCTTGCATGCCTGAGGCCCTGGGTTCCATTCCTCAGCACCACATAAGCAAAAAGAAAAAAGCCGGAAGTGGCGCTGTGGCTCAAGTGGTAGAGCGCTAGCTTTGAGCTGAAGAGCTGAGGGACAGCGCCCAGGCCCTGAGTTCAAGCCCCAGGACCAGCACAAGAAAAAAAAAAAGAAGCAGAACAAATAAGAGGACATAGCTTGAGCTGTTTTTGGAGCTCCCACGTTAGAATAAATCTCATAATTCTTTTCGGAGCACACACCTGTGTCATAGGTAGGATCTAAGTCTGAACACCGGACCACTGGAAAAGTACCTGGGATCAGGAAGTTCTCTCTGAAGCATCGGTATATCCTGAGATTTTCTTTCTCAAGCTGGAAATGCAGCTCTGTTCACCTTCAATTGAAATCTTTAAGTTTCTTGCAGGCCCAGAGAAATGAAATCTAATACAGTTTTGGGTGTTGTTCTTTTTCTTTTCCTTCTTTTTTTTTCTTTTTCTGTTTTGGCTCTGGGTTTGCAAAACAAGGACTCAGGATTAAGATTTTCCAACAACGATTTTAGCCAATGCTTTAAAGATCTGTGTGTGTGTGTGTGTGTGTGTGTGTGTGTGTGTGTGTGTGAAACTTATTTTAGAAACATCAAAGGCTATGGCTGTAGAAGTGACAGGGACATCCGTGTGTTTTGTTGTGACAAAGCATGTCACTTTCAACCGTATATATTTTTAAAAGAAATAATAAAACCTTCAAATGACAGGGGCTTTCATTCACTAGGGAATGAAAATTAAAAATTTACATTTTTAATCTAGAAAGAAATGATTACTGATTCCTTAAGACCCAACACAATTCGTTTGATCTCTCTCTCTTTCTCTCTATCTCTCTCTGTGTTAATTTTCTAGGAAATAGCTTTTAACCACCTACACCTTGTGTTTTGAATTGTCAACCAGTTTTTGTTCTTATCACCACTGGTTATAATGGCAGAGTGCAATCCACATCTGGGAACTATTGAAATGAGATGATGATAAGTTCCCAGAAACTGCCTACCAATAATCGCCACCTTATTACCCTTTGCAAAGAAGATTGAGAGGAAAGTCATTTGAAAGATGGCTCATTACCATGCCTTGGTACGATTTCTTTACCCACATTTCCCCAAAGCTTGAGAATGGGAGGATTATTCTCTGAGGTTGGAATTTGAAGGCTGTGTGTTTGTCTCTTTGAAGTCTTGGTATTAATTTTCTCCTGTCATTTCTTGGGCAATTTTCTAAGAAACTAGTTGGAGTTCATTTGTTGTAAGTTAAAGTTAAATGACAGAAAAGTGTTTTTTTTTTTAATTCCAAAGAGGTTAGCTTCTGAAGGAAGATGAAACTTAAATAACATTTCAAATCTCCAATCACATGGGTAGGGATAGAGGGTAGGAGGGATTCTGGGAAGCACACTTTTTTTTGTTATTTAAGAAAAATTTAGTACTGTTGTCATTTGACGACTTTCCTGTCTAGTTCATGATGTACAGACTAAATATTAGATTTTTTTAAAAAATGAAACAACCTCATAGGAATAATTAGGTACGTTGCTTATTTTTTGAAAGAGCAATATGTTTAGTCCTCAAGATCTCTATCACTTCCAGACTTTTAATACCTCTGAAACATTTATTCAAAAGGTGTGTGTGTGTGTGTGTGTGTGTGTGAGAACATGGGGTCCAGCTCAATAAATAATATGATATGATGTAATCATTGTGTAATGTTTAAAGAGCAAACTCAGTGGACCGGCATCCTTATAAACACAAAAGTGAATCTGAACAGGGAACTGATGGTAACTCACACTTGCAATCTTAGCTTTGCAGATTTAGCTGAGATCTAGAAGATAGAGGTTCAAAAGCCACGATAGCAGAAAAGTGCATTCAACTTGATCTCCAAAATAATAATACTCATGGATGGTGACATGGCTCAAGTGGTAGAGCACCAGACTAGCCAGCTAGAGGCCCTGAGTTCAAATCCCATTATTGACCCAAAACTCAACAATCCCAAAAAGTGATTCTGCCATGTCTCCTTTCCCCAAGGGAAAATACTCATTGCTTCCCCTGCCCCCTCCCTTTTTCTCCCTTCAGTTCTGGGGCTTAAACTCAGGGCCTGGACACTACCGCTGAGCTTCTTTTGCTCAAGGCTAGCACTCTACCACTTAAGCCACAGCGCCACTTCTGGCTATTTCTATTTATGTGGTACTAAGGAATGGAGTTCAGGGTAAATGCTAGGCAAGCACTGTACCACTCA